ACCTACTACAGCGCACGCGTGTAAAATATCCACTACGTAGTAGATATAGTCCAGCTACGTCATCGTGCTACAGGCTGCAGCTAGGACCTCTTGGCTACTGCACCCGGCTTTCACAAGCATATCTCTTCACGGATTAAATATTTATAATATATTGAAACTAAATATAATATAAAATAGTTAATTTACAATATAGTCTTTCTGTTAGCGGCAGTCACGTAGTTTTAACTTGTTATTGAACCGATTATTAACAACCAGTCAGACTCGATGACACAAAACGCTTCTGCTACGAGAGAAAGCTGGGGCCGCAAGCCGTTTCCACCGTCTGTAACTCCCCAACCAAACCTCGACGGACAACTGGACCTTTTTGGATGCACCCAGCAGAAAAGATGCAGTACATGAATAATTGTGCGTGCCTCTATTAATCATTTTGAGTCTAATATCATCCCATAGAAAAGCCCTGTTATCATGTCAGTTGGCTAATTTGGCTTATTCACCGTCTCTCACAATTTTAATTATTGGGGAAGTTGTGGCCTAATGGTTAGCGAATCGGACTCACAACCCAAAGGTTGCAGGTTTGAGTCTCGTACCGGCAGGGATTGTAGGTGGGGGGAGTGAATGTACAGCGCTCTCTTCCACCTTCAATACCACGACTGAGGCGCCCTTGAGCAAGGCACCGAACCCCCAAATGCTCCGGGTGTGTGTTCACGGTGTGTGTGATTTTCCCGGTGGGCCGACGCACTTAAGGCGCCGACAGAAGTTTTTTTTGCGCCAAGGACCATCACGGCGGTGAGTGATGCGGGCCAAAGAGGCAGACAGGAGAGGAGAGGAGAGTAGTTGAATCTGTAAAGTGCTTGATAGGGACTCGCAACGGAGGCAGACATCTAACCTATCCTAATGTGTGTGTGCGCCAAGAGCGTAGAATACGTAAACACTTTTTAATAAAATGTAAATTCGTCCCCCGCCCTTTTTTGGTCAAGTCAAGTGTGTTCATAGAGGTTTCCACGGGCCAATGCGAATAAATCTAGATTTAAATGAAAAAAGACACGATATTGTCGGACCTGACGTTTTATTCTCATCCAAAACAACTAGATGTGATGTGAGTGTGATACATACATACATACAAAAGTTTTTGAACAGTAATTTTTTTTTTAATGTTTTTTAAAGAAGTCTTTTCTCACCAAACCTGCATTTATTTGATCCAAAATACAGCAAAAGCAGTAATATTGTGATTTTTTTACTATTTAAAACAGCTGCTTTCTATTTAAATATATATTAAAATGTCATTTATTTCTGTGACCAAAGCTCAATTTTCAGCATTATTACTCCAGTCTTCAGTGTCACATGATCCTTCAGAAATAATTTTAATATGCTGATTTGTTATATGTATATATACATATACATATACAGTATATATGGTGGTGGGCCGCCTGGACCAAAAAATGCCTGGGCTGATTTTTTGGCCCAGCCCAGCCCTGGTCACCATACTTGGCCACATGTCACGTCACTTCACTTCACTTCATTAATAAAAAAATGAAGCAGTATTCTGAACATTAGATATACATTGTGTTTTGCGTTTTTTCATTGCCCCATGACAAAACATTAAAACAAGTCACTTGCAACAACTCAGTTGCATTGCTGTCTATGGGAAGGTCGGAAAGCTCTCGGATTTCTCGGAACATGAAGGGTGAGTAATTAATGACAGAATTTTCATTCCTGGGTGAACTATCCCTTTAAGATGCATGGTTAACCTTGGCAGTGAACTGTAACAAGCTCTTGCTCCATTTGAACTTATTCACTTTGTGCCATGTTTGGATTACTTAAATAAAAGTGTTTTGTTTTTTTTCTTCTTCAGAAAAGCAGTTTGTTCTAACAGTTTACCATTTTGTATATGCACTTTTAAGTCTACTGTGACAGTTAATATTTTTACTAATGTCTTTGCTGTTCTTACTGACACTGACAACAGTTAATAGTAGGTTCATAAATGTCTTGCCATTCTTAATCAAATTTGACAATACATTATGTATTTGTGTTTGAATATGCTGCTGGTTTATTTTTATTCTTCAATCAATTAATGGCAACTGTGCTCAGTCCTCCATTTGTAAAGTTCGACAACTCAATACAGCAAAATTTAAGTACCAACTCTTGCTTTTTGCCTTTATTGTCAATGCCAGTATGCAATTTTAGAATTTAGATTTTGTATTTACACATTTGAACATGTCTACAGTACATGTAGAATTTAATAAAGCAAGTTAGGTTTACACAACTCTGGTACCAGTACCAGAGACATCATTAAATTGCTTTAGAGTTGCATAATACCTTTGATTAATATTAGCATTAAGAAATCAAGTTGGTACCCTTGACACAATGAAATCACTTTAACAGTACACAATGCATTTGTGTAATGACAATCAGGAATGACAAATAATATATTGAATCAACATGATTATTTTAAGTAGTCTAACGTGAATGAAATATTTTGGTTTGGCAAGCAATAAGTCATTGAGAAAAAGGACAATTATGTCAGTTGAACACATTCTGATCATGTGGGACCGATGTACACATTAAAATTAAAAATTAAATTCAAAGCACTTTTTTTCAGTGTATGACATCGTTCACTTCATTGCCTGTATAGCTCAAAGCTCGCTCAGTTGCACAAGCAGCCTCATAATGTTCCTTAAAATTCAGTGATTAATATTCATTAAATGTGATTTACATTGTGCAGTGGTTTACGCTTATTGTTTTATTAAATATATTAGGTAAATTGCTCAATACCCAGTTTTTGACTATTACTAATACTCTCGTGTTTGATCTGGATGGCCTATTGCTTTACAGAGATGATGTAGTCTATTTATCGGATGAAAATAATTAGTTGTAAGTGTCCTTTGCAAAGCAATGTGTTTAGTATTTTCCTGATATGCTGCAGTGAACATCTGTAAATGGCTCTTTGTTGCACTTGTTGTTTTGGGCCCATTAAATAAAAAAGGCTCAGGGTTGACTTGCTCCGCTATTGTACACCAGGTATTCTCACAGGTAACCAATCTCACATTAAGAAATTTTAATGCAAAGCATTTTCCACCACGATACCAATCATTTTTCAGAACAGAGAAAGTATGCACAAAACACTATTAAATGCCCTGCAGTTTGACAGCATCATGTAACTGAATTCAGCTACAGTATACAGTACACACATCACTTCTTTTTAGGATTGCATTGCATAATTTGTGATAAACATAAAATGGCTGAATTAAAGTCAAAATACAATAATGAGATCACAGTTAATAGAAAGTTGCGTTAGACATTGTTGATGTGACACCAACATGACAAATAATATTAACGCCACATGCTCTTCATGTGTTGACGACTCAAAGTGCTTTACATAAAAGGAATTAAAATAATCATAAAAATAATCACAACAATAAAAGCAAGGAATTAAATTTTAAAATTATTTACAAATTGATTTAAAATGAATTAAAACAGTTAAGAATAGAAAATGATGATACATAAAATACAATACATTTAGTTTGGACGTAGCACAGTGCTCATTCAGTAAAAGCACAACTAAACAGATGAGTTTTGAGTCTGGATTTAAATATGGCTACTGATTTAGCACATCTGATCTCTTCTGCAATCTGGTTCCAACTGTGGGTAGCACAAAAGCGGACTCCCCTTGTTTTGAGTGAACCCTTGGAATTTCAAATTGACTTGATCATAATGATCTGAGTGGTCTGTTTATATTCAGTGAAAGTAAAGTTATGATCGGTTTAACCGGTCATAACTCGATTAAAGTTATGAACTGGTTGTAACCTTACAGGCCTAGCAACAAAAATTAAGCAAAAAATTTTAAATCCACAATAGACCTTTGTGGAACTTTGGCAGTTTAATGAACTTAACGATGCACTCAGGAACATTTGTCAGCAATAAAAAGTGTGTACATGTTTATGTAACATTTTTAATGAATAGCATTTCTTGACAGTTATTTTGAGATGATGCATTTCAGTGGGGGAAAAAAAAAGTTTTATTCTAGCAGGTAACCCCTAATCAACAGAATACTCCTTTCCTCTTTCCTTTAACTTCTGTGCATTAATCATAGCTATTTCTTCTTTATGTATTTTCCCTTTCAGATCAGAGAAAATAGCAGAATGGATCCCCGCTAAGTTTTTAATACAATTCAAAAAATTACTGATCATAAAAGATAAATCATTAAAATATAATATCATCTGTACTAGTTTGCATAAAACTTTCAAATGTTTTTAAAGAACAAGGCTATTTCTCAACGCTTTTTGAAGTGAGCCTCATTAGGGTCAAAATAGGGGATAGTCTCCTTAATAGAAGTATGTAATTCCTAAAAAGACCAATTACATGCAAATTAACCAGTTTTCTTAAAATAAAGAAGAATGAGATATGCTCATCAGATAATCTAATTGTACCATTCATTCGCCATAGCAACAAAGACTTTTATTTTATGAGTGTCCATTTCAACATTAACAAACACATTGGTTCCAATTGCATTATTATGTACAGTACAAATACAATAAATAAACTCAGAATTTCATGTATTATATTTTACACATCATTCACATAATTGTCCACATTGAATAAGCTCTTATACTCAAATATTATCTTACATTCATACAGTATCAGGCGTTTCCCAAAAGTATATTTTGCTAATTATGGTCGCAAGTTTCAAAGAACTCTATTGGTAACGACAGAATTGCGGCCATAGTTGTTTTGGGAAACACACCCCTGAAAGTACCAGATGTTATCTTATATTTCTTCTTTTATATCTTTATATTTCTTGTCTTATCTTTTAGTAATGAAGCAATATCTAAAGGATTGTGAAAATGAGGATTGTGTATGATAGGAGGTATCATGAAGGATGTCATAAAGATAAATTCTTCATTATTACTCCCTTTGCAGTCACAACGATGACCTGTAATATGCATAATTATTGATCAAGTGACTGAGTTTAACAAGTGAGTTTAAGTAGAAATCTACCATCATTACTGAGGTACTAGGATTCTCCCTGTCAAAAAAAAAAAAAAGATTGTCAAGTTACATGCATGTACAGGGATGATATACACAGATTATTATCATTCTGAATTATTCTCATTTTCTCTGACCTGTTGATTTCTTCTTGTAGTAAATGAGTCCAGCAGCTGAGATGATGATTCCCAGCACCAGACCAAATGCTCCAATAGCAATTTTATTCCTCTCAGACTCAGGGAGAGACGGATCTGTGGAGTATGTCATATCATATGTCAAAGTATGCTTACCACAAACACAGTTATAATATGACATCTGTTGAGTGTCTCATCTTACCCCAGTCATAAATCATGGGTTTACTGAAGCTGGCATGCTCAACCATACAGGAGATCTTCTCTCCAGATTTGGGGCTGTACTCCAGCTCAGAGTGAATCTGGTAGTACCAGTCCCCATCAGCCTTCTCCATAGTGGAGGTCACTTCAGAGGTCATCAGTTTACCATCTCTCAGCCAGGACACTTTGATGTGTGGAGGATAAAATTCATATGCGCTGCACATCAACACAGCTGGATGTCTGCCACCAGCCTGCGACACTGAACTGAGCTTAACCTTTGGTTTCACTGAATCAAGAAGAGCAACATCCTAAATACACAGTTTCATGTTGTGTGTGTGTGTGTGAGTGTGTGTGTGTGTGTGTGTGCATGTTTATGTGGTTTATGAGGACACAAATTTGTATAATAACATGGGTATGACATAGATATTACAACGAGAAGGTGATTTATGAGGACATTTTCAGTGTCCCCATAATTCAAAAGGCTTATAAATCATACAGAATGAGTTTTTTTGAAAATCTAAAAATGCAGAAAGTTTCCTGTGAGGGGTAGGTTTAGGTGTAGGTTTGGTGTAGGGCAATAAAATATACGGTCTGTACAGAAAAACCATTACACCTATATGGAGAGTCCCCACAAACCATAAAAACAAACCTGTGTGTGTGTGTGTGTGTATGTGGTTCAAGCATACCCTATGTTATGGGGACAAAATGTCCCCACAAAGATGGCAATATCTGAAATCATTCTCCTTGTGGGGACATCTGTTGGTCCCCATAAGGGCAAACAGCAAATCATACTAAGTGATGTTTTTGTAAAATGTTTCTGTAATGGGTAGGGTTAAGGGAGACAATATACAGTTTGTACAGTATAAAAATCTTTTTGTCTTTATTCACAATAAGTTATTCAAATTCAGTTCTTACATTTTGAAATGCTACTGCTTACCATTTCTGGTGATATTAAGACATTATGTTAAATTATTATTAGATACTAGCATTTGCTCTACATGTTGACAGCAAAAATGAGAGAAAAGACTTATGCCACTTACCTGATTTATCAATGATACTGGAGTCAAAGATTTCAGCATTACCTTTGCAGAACCAGTCCCCAATATCTCTTTCTTCATGCACAAACGTGCCATTGTTCCAGAACTCTGCTAGTTTCATTCCATACTCATTAAACCCCACAAATCTCCCCAAAGTGCTGTCAAACTGTATGAATAGATATTTATTGAAATAGTAGTTGTCAAAATACACCATGTCACTGATATTAGAGGAGCTGTAGATGCATCTTGACATACGGTATCTGTAATATACATCAGCTGAAAAAGAATGAAGATGCAGAAAAATCTGTCAGATAAATATGTTAACAAGAACTTGGATGCATCAGTCAGTTGCAGTAGGCTACATTTCCTTTAAAACGTCCATTACCAGGAACTTTAAAACCAATGACCCTTCTTAAGAAAATGTTGCAATATAATAATTTCACTACTACTCCTACTAAAAGTAACAGTAACAATAATGATGGAATTATTGTTGATATTTATTATTTCAATACCTCTCATTTTACTTACCACTTTCCACTACAAGATATATAGATAGTGCTAATATGAGATGACAGCTGAAGAGCTTTTGCAGTGACATTTTCACTGACTCTGAATCCCAGCTGAATGCTGCCAATGATTTGTTCATGTTCAAGAGATTGATGTCCAAGATAACTCTACAACCAGTTACTGCAGGTGTAAGTGTCAAATGTTGCTAGGCAGCATACTGCTTTCACTTTAAAAGAAAATTTAAAAGAAAACACTGTAGATTTATCAGTCTAACTAACTTATATTAATATCTTACAGAGACTCATATTCTGTGACATTAATGTGTAAGCAGTTGGTAACTAGCATATTATACAACAGCAATACTAAACACAAAGTTTATCCATTTATTGTCTCTGGCACTCTTATATTCCATTCATCAGAGCTGGTCTCACCATAAAGATTTTCATAAAGAACAACTTTAATGTTGCAAAATTGGATCTTCCCCGTAGTTCCACCAAAATAATTAGTTGTAAGCGTCCTTTGCAAAGCAATGTGTTTAGTATCTTTCTGATATGCTGCAGTGAACGTCTGTAAATGACTCTTTGTTGCACTTCTTGTTTTGGGTCCAATAAATAAAAAAGGAACAGGGTTGACTTGCTACGCTATTGTACACCAGGTATTTAAGTTTGTGATACTTCCTCATACACAAGCACACGGGGAGAAAGGAATGTCCTTTAATCATGTGAAAGTTACTGTGATTTTGATGATGATATATATACCTTCATAATGTTGAACTATTCATCACAGCCCAGCATTTTAACATTTAACATTAATAATTAACAAATGCATTAAACACACTTGTAGTTTTTTGGTGAAATTTTGAGTGTGTGCTTGGGTTGAGGGCCTGCTAACAGGTATTAACTGCTTTAATAATAATAATAATAATAATAATAACAATAATGTTATGGGAATGCCCTTAAATGGCAGTGAAATGTTAAATAAACAAGCAAACAGTGTCTTTGCTTTAGAGAGTTAAATCCAGTGACATTAAGAAAAAAATATGTGCACAAATCATGAAAGAACCAATTAAAGCCTCTGATAGTTTGGGTCTGATCTTAACATTTTTACAATCTCAAATCATCAACATAATAAGGAATAAGGAGCACATCAAGCAATGAAGCAGGTCAGATGAATGTAGAATGGCAAGTTGTCAACCTTTAAGGCTTAATTTTCAATAGGACAGACAACAGGATTTTGCTCATTTTAGTCAGTGCTTAGCACTAAATTGAAGATTATTCTTTATTTTGTACATGAATATACCTTGTGCATTTGTGTATTTATAAAAAGGTGTATACCAGTGAATATACCAGGTATATTTGAAGCTTGTCGAACAGTTTTTATAGCTGTGTCCCGTTATGCATGTCTGAACTGCATTGTCAATTTGCATATGTTATTGCAAGTAAACTCTGCTCTTAAATTCAGTTGTATAATCTCATGACCAACCAACCTCACATGAAGAAATTTTAATGCAAAGCATTTTTCCACCACGATACCAATCATTTTTAAGAACAGGGAAATTATGCACAAAACACTATTAAATGCCCTGCAGTTTGACAGCATCATGTGACCGTGTCAACAAGCTGCCCTCCCCAAAAGTTTTTATCAAATTTTATCAACAATTTTTTTTTTTTATAAAAACTTCCCCGTAGTTCCACCAAAACTTCCTCATGTTTACAAGCTTTAGGGCTCCTGTAAAAGAACTTGTTTGTATCTTTACAACAATCATGTTAAACCAGTTTTGAAACGCAGAGATCCATTACTGTCGTGAATACAGCCAAACCTGCACCAGCAGTGGCATAGCATCTGGGGGAGCAGGGTATGTATGTGGATATAAGCCAAGGCAGATATAGGAACCCGCATTCATAAAGCTATGGCATCGTTCACTTCATTGCCTGTATGGCTCAAAGCTTGCTCAGTTGCCCAAGCAGCCTCATAATGTCCCTTAAAATTCAGTGATTAATATTCATTGACTGTGGTTTACGCTCATTGTTTTATTAAATATATTAGGTAAATTGCTCAATTGACAGTTTTTGACTATTACTAATTACTTTACAGAGATTATGTAGTCTATTTATCGGATGAAAATAATTAGTTGTAAGTGTCCTTTGCAAAGCGATGTGTTTAGTATTTTCCTGATATGCTGCAGTGAACGTCTGTAAATGGCTCTATGTTGCACTTCTTGTTTTGGGCCCATTAAATAAAAAAGGCTCAGGGTTGACTTGCTACGCTATTGTGCACCAGGTATTTAAGTTTGTGATACTTCCTCATACAAAAGCCCCCTAAATTTGGAATCTTATCACACCAAATAATTGTGGGTGCAATGCGCAGTTTGTCCTGTAGGTAATGTAAAGTAAAACATCACTAGCTGCTTAAATTCAAATCTGCATTCGCTGACAGAGACAGACGTGTTTTTACAGTGCTGCGCATTAAAACCAATCACACACACGATTTTGTTGAGCTTATGAATGCAATGGCCAAATCAGAGGTGATCAGATGAGTCATTGCTGAAACACCATGTTTTGTTCAGTGCGAGCGTTCACTGACTGAATTCTGCTCTCATCAGAAACAACAAAGGGCAGATGTACGTGCGAAAAAGAATGAAGATGCAGAACAATCTGTCAGATAAATATGTTAACAAGAAAGAACTTGGATGCATCAGTCAGTTGCAGTAGGCTACATGGATGTCTTTTCAAAAAGTACAAATAGCCTAATATTTTCTTTAGAACGTCCATCCAGGAACTTTAAAATGAATGACCCTTCTTAAGAAAATGTTGCAATGTAATAATTTTACTACTACTCCTACTAACAGAAACAACAACAATAATAACACATATATATTATTTCAATACCTCTCATTTTACTTACCACTTTCCACTACAAGACATATAGATAGTGCTAATATGAGATGACAGCTGAAGAGCTTTTGCAGTGACATTTTCACTCTCTCTGAATCCCAGCTGAATGCTGCCAATGATTTGTTCATGTTCATGAGATTGATGTCCAAGATAACTCTACAACCAGTTACTGCAGGTGTAAGTGTCAAATGTTGCTAGGCAGCATATTGCTTTCATTTGAAAAGAAAACACTGTAGATTTACCAGTCTGACTAATTTAGATAAACTAAGTAAAAAGAATATACATATATGTGTGTGTGTATGTATATGTATCTTACAGAGACTCATATTTTCTACAGAACAAACCTCTGTGACATTAATGTGTAAGCAGTTGGTAACTAGCATATTAGGTCTATGCAACAGCAATATTAAACACAGTTTTAAACAGCCAGTTTATGCAAACTTTCAGTTTTTTATGAACACAAACTGAGCAGTTTATCTATTTATCATCTCTGGCACTCCTATATTCCATTCATCAGAGCTGGTCTCATCATAATGATTTTCATAAAGAACAACTTTAATGCTGCAAAATTTGATCAACAGGCATCAGGGAGGGAGGCAGGCAAATCACAGGCAGGACAGAACCCTAACAATTGGTCTATCCTGGTCCTGAGGACCCACTGCTCTTCACATTTTGAGCTTGAGCATCCTGACACCTTAACCGAAACTTAAATGTGAGGAACCCGACCCAAAGCTCCAAACAAAAACACAAAACAAACAGGACAGCACACAGCCAAGGCAATCAGGCCCAAAGTTGTGTGCTCAACAAAACATAAGAAAAAAACACAGAACGAGAGTCTCAGGATCCTTTACTACCACATGGCCTTCTCTTTATGGTCATCGTCATATTATTTGTTTTTTAGATGGTGCTTTTATGGAAAAGAAAACATTTTCCATAAACATTTAAGACCAAATATAACAGTATCATAGTGCCTAATTGAAAGTGTCTAATGAGGTTTTGTGTAAATAGCACATGCAAGCTTTCTCTGACTGTACAGACACTTAAAAATGTTAGTTTTGAACCATGTGAGTATATTACTTAATGTATGTGATGCGCAGATATGATGTTTAAGAAAATATTTTTCTTTTTGTTTCAATTAAAGGTTTTTAGACTTTCAATAAGCATGGTTTGTGATACATAGCTAGACAAGTTGACCATGCTTTGAGTCCAGATGTATGCATTTATTTATACCTTTAACATCAATAATGATGCAAGCCTTCAGATTGCTCAGTTTGAATATTTTTGTTTTATTTCCATGCTTTATAGTCAGTTGCAGTTGTTTCCTTTAATGAGTAAGAAAGTTCCAGCAGCGACTCCCAACAGTCCTAGAGTCAGACCCACTCCACAGAACACAGCTGGACCAACACTTGGGAGAGCAACATCTACATCTGGAAAATACATGCATAGGAAATTGGAGGATGCATGAAAATTATAACAGCTGAAAAGATGATTTTTACAAATTTGAGCTGAAATAATGATAATAATAAAATATCACACTTACCCCATGTTTTGGTCTGAGGTTGACCCTGGAGGGCTCTGTGGTTCACGGTACAGCTGTAAATGTCTCCTTCAGCAGGTGTAACCTTAAGAGTGGAGAAGATGTTGAAGGTACCATCTGCCCTTGGACGGTATTGGCTTAAACTTATGCCTTCTGTCACATTAGCATTATTCGTAGTCCATGAGATGCTGAGAGATGGAGGATAGAAGCCAGTCACATGACAGATGAGGGTGTTCTGAACACCCAGCTCTACATCATCCTTTAGATAGATGGATGTATGGGGTGCATCTAGAAACACACAAAACTGTATTCAATAGTCAATTCAAATAAATATAGATATCATATAACTTAATGCATATTATATTAACTTTTGAGGCAAAACCTGATAACACTTGAAGCATATATATTATTTAATTTCTGTTCCCACCAAGCTCACGCTATATGGTAACACATTAATGTTCCCTTTATAAGGGGCCTGGTTAATGAATGAAGATAAGAAATTTGAATCTCAAATATTCTAGTTTTGTTGCATCCACATAAATCATGAATTTGGTTTTGAATAAAGTATAAATAAGCATATTTAAGCATTGAGTTGAGTTACAAGTCAGTTAAAATAGCTAACTAATTAACAGATATTGTGTGGAAGTTGCCCTTTTATTTATGTTGTCATTTATTGTTGTTATTAATTATTAATGATCCCCTTTATAAACAGTTCATAGTACCTAACATATCACTGTTATACAGCATTGTTCATTAAAATATGTAAAATTCAGTAGTACATTTTCATGCCTTACCCATTTCTGGTGGTGGGCTCTTGAAAATTTTAGTCAAAAATGCTACATCACTTTTGCATCCTGTCATTTCAATAACACTTGTTTCATAAAAATGAGTAAATTCCAAAGGATTTGCAAAATCAGGCAATGTTACTACTCCTCTCTTCTGATTGAAGTCAGCATGCCACATCTCCTCTTCATCAAGTTCATGCATATCCTCTCCATCTGTCTCAGAGCATCCATGAATTCCAACATATTCATGTACAACTGAAATACAACGAGCATAATAAAATCCACTTATTCCACTTTGTCAGGTTTTTGTCCTTAAAATAATCTTGAGGATAGGACTAATTTCTTATGAATCTCACCACAAGCCTCCTAATTCCAAAACCATGTGAGGGGTTCACATTAGCATTATTTTTGGATCTTTGAGAAAGGTATGAATTTGATTTAAATTGTTTGAGTTTGTTTATTTAGTTTTGTTTTATTTTAGTCTGCCCTGGTGCTTGAGCTTGTAACTGAGCCAAAAGACTTAGTTGGATCAGTTTTTATTCCTTTCCTTTATAGTGTTTGTACATTGTTTGTTCTCAAGGTTGTTCTTTAAAAAAAAAGTAATTTCACATATTCAATTTGTGATAATAAAAGTAAAAAAATAAGAGCAGTGATATAAACATTTATTTCTTAAACACTTGCGAACAAATTATAATATTTTTTTTTACATAAAGATATTTTACAAATTAAAAGTATTTTTTCATATGCTCTGTGAAGCTACTCATTGTCTTTTATTTTGTATTATACATGCTCTTTTGTTTTATATGTTACATGATTTCATGGAGTGTTTGTTCCTGTAGAACTCGGAGAGGATTTTCAAATATACAGTATGCAGGACGTGCTTTCAATGCAATATTCACATAGCAAATGGTGAATCAATATTCACAAAGTGAATATCTATCCATGCTTTTTCCAAAACCGGTGGAGGTTTTAGTAGCAAAACCTACACAGGTGTTTGTTTGTAACCAGTAACAGTAACAGTCGGTGTATTATGTTCAATAAATCATTACCCAGTTGATCCTGACTATAACTGTTTAACAAACAATTTCAACATAAATTCAGTCTGATTAAAGCATATAATAATTGTAACTATAATCCAATGCAGTACCAAGTGATTAAAACTCAAACTTACTTTCAGCATCAGTTGAGAGAACAATGGTTAAAGTAAGAATTGTTGTGTACAGCTCCATCCTGATTGATGAGAGTCGAACAAACATCAGAGAAATACTTAACAGAAATGAAAAGTATTAAGCTAAAGTAGTAAGTAGTAAGCTAAAGTATTAGCCTTTGTATCCTCCACTCAGCGTTCGACCCACACAGTGACACTGATGTATCTAGGAGGAAGAAACGGTTTTCCTCATTCACCAGTCAGGCAGCTCTCTAATCGTATCTGATGTTTTGATTCCTTCAGTCTGCAAGTGTAAATACAAAAGTGCAGAAACAAACCATTTTTTGTTTGCAGAAAGGAGCAGAGGAGACAAAGGAGCTTTTAAACCCTTAAAATGATGTAATTTAAAACATAGGTAACATGACTAACTTAGCATTGCTCTTACACTGACAGTCATTTTAAAAAACAGTTTTAAAACTTTTTCACTAATAAGTTACTTTTTTAACAAATAATGATGCAGTATAACAAACTGCTAGTATTGTTGTTTTTATTTTATAGCATAAACAGCTTTGCAGTCGTGCAAACTTGGCATTAATGAAACACTCTGCTAGAATGTCTCTTTGGCGCAGATAACACAATATTGCTCTTACTATTTCTCCAGTATGTAGGCTACTGTATGTATGTATGTATTTGAGTGTTCACTATTTCCATAGTGTACAGCATTTACTGCATGCATGGAATAGCCAGAGGATCTACACATCAAATGAATAAATAAACATGCACTTTAATGTCATCTTTACTAATCAGAGGAGCTGTTACTGTGGCACAAACCAAAATGAAATTATTTAAATGTTTGAACCAAACTCTCCCATTCTATTTCTGCAAGCCCCTGAGATATCAACTAAAAAACATCTGCCCCCTCCTCCAGTGAGAGCTCTCCGGCTGCTGCCTCAACGCCAAGGCCAGCACGCTCCTCCAACTGCTGTAGGTGAACAAAAAACAACTGATATCAGCTCTAAGTGACATCTAAGGGTCCCCGCTATGATAGCAGCAACATTCACAAATGCTTACAGAGCAAGCAGGAACCCAGTGTGCCTGTAGCTTTCTCTATTTTTTTCTGTTTTATTACATGATACTCTCCGAAAAAAAGGTACACGATGGTACAAATAATGTTCCTCAAAGAACAGTTTTGTACCTTTTCAATAACTACCTTTAATGGTACAGTAAAGACGTCTGGTGATACTGTTGGGCACCTTTCAAGGCACAACTGAAATAAAGGTACTATGAAGTAGGGTTTTCACAAAAACAAAAACAAAAAATCTAACTAAAATCAGACCTGAAAACAAACACTGAAAAAATAAAAAAAATAAACTCCCAATAAATGTCCAAACAGTGATGCTATCAGAACATTTATTGTGAACATATCTTGCATCATTTACATCTATTTTTGCAGTTGATGTTGATTGTTACTTATTATTGCCATCATACCAACTTATTGCAATTATTTTAAATTCAGTTGAGGTATCTGACATTTTATGACATAACATCGATCTTTTATATGAAGTCTTTAGAGCCATAGACTATAATATGCTGTTTTTAGATAAATTGCTCAGAGACCAACCAGGACAGAGGTTATAAATCATCCAAGCACCCAATTCCTAGCCATTTCTAATATAGGCTGCATTTCATTAACATTGCTAAATATTATTAAACTGGAAAGAAACTAAAGATCCATCTTTGATTGTCAAAAGAATTCCAGGTTCACTTCCCTCCCAGCCAATTAGATTTCACGCACTTTTATCGGTCAGTCGTGGAGGTCTAATTGGTTAAGGCTTTATTTATATAGCACCTTTTAACAGTCTTTACAAAGTACAGTTACAGAGAGATGCATATATGCATTCACAGAAAATATGAAGGTAGAATGACATCAAAAAGATTTGCATATGCAGGGTAATATTTGTGGAAATGTACATAAGACTGTAAGCGTAAATTAAATTTGCATGCGCAAGAGAAGCTTTGTAAAGGTGTAAATCGTGGTTCAAGCGCAAGAAAAAATTATTTGCAGCATTTTACTGTTACTCGTAAGTGTAATTCATGTATTGTGAAACTGCAGCTTCATGCTAACGCAAAATAAATATGATCTGCATGCTTCTGACTTCCATTTTTCCGCACTTACACTTTTGACACGTTTTTTTTCGCCAAAAGACGGTCAAAAGCACTGCAAGCCTGTGAACAGTGATTTGCAAGCGAAAACAACAGTTTAAAACCAGTTAAACTCTGCGGACCCGGATACGGGTCCAAAGTCACGTTAAAAATGTGTATGCTTCATTTGCATAGCCTTCCTTATATGGTATCAGCCCTTTTGGTTTTTATATTTATAAAGCAGTAAAATTAAGCGTAGAAATGGATTTTCCGCCTAACCATTGCAAATTTTTTTTTACGAAGAATGTGTATTTGATATATTTTTCACAATAAAGTCAAGTCATATATCACAAGAAAGCTCTCATTCTCGGGAATTTGACGATGTAGATTATTTCATTGTGTGACAATCATAGATCGATTTATCTTCAATTGAATTGCGATGTAAAAAAAAAAAAACTGATTTTTTTATGTGTAACATTCCTACTCGTAGCACTGCTTCAGTTAGCCGCAAACAGCCACAAATATCTATAAACTCTATATTATCTTTTAGATTAGGATCTCTTCTTTCGAACAAGACCATTTTCACGTTTCTGCGTGCTTCCATCGGTGAGATATTCGCGTTCTGTCCAGGTAACGGAATCCAGCGCGTCAGTGGATAACGGTTCTCCATCTCATTCCAGCGCGCATGAGCCCTTCTGATGTTATACACCTCTGCGGCCAGTTCTGGGCTGCAATTGGTCAGATTACACGTCACTCAGATCGGCCATTACAGACTTTGTGAACTCTGACACCTCTGCGTCACACAGTGGGCAAAAGAGAGGGGGGTCTCCATCCGGTCGGTCAGCCAGTGGTCTGCTGGGCGTTGTAGTTCAAAGACGCGAGAATTGGAGGCTTTTCTCCGCACGGAAGAGTTGTAGCGAACGCTACTCGTATCATATTAGTCTATGATTATCATATTACAAGTTATATATGATGAAGAACGGTCAGCGGCGCCGTGGAGAGGAGTGGACGCGCGTCTGGGGAGGATTTAGGAGCGACTCTCCGTGAGTTTGAGAGCTGGTTCTTTGTTATGAAACGTGTTAGCTATACTAGCACTCTGATACACTGTTTGCTGACAGAAAAGTACAGTACATTATGCATTTCAGTAAGTATACAGTAAATATACAGTAAATATACATGGATTATTTACAGTGCGGTGTGAAAGAGCTGATATATGTTTGTTTGACGCTGTGAATGTAGAATGTAGCTGCCTGCTAGCAAATTAGCTCAGCTGGACCACGGAGGCAAGCCAAGCTGGATGCAGGGGATGGTACAGAGATGCGGTGCTCAACTGATGCTGAGGTGAGAGATGCTGTGATCACTATCCCAATACAGAATGCATATAAATGGAATGATATAAAGCTGGAGGATATGGATTCTATTTTAGGTTGTTATAGACCATATATATATTATAATGTAGACAGTCTTGAGCATCCTGAAAGAATTAAACTGAGTGTAGAAATCACAATATGACAAGTTTGGTCCAATTCGCTTGTGCCATTTTGTATATTACTACTTAGAAAAACATAAAAATGAAACATAATTCAATCAATAATCAATTAAAGTGCTTATGGCACAGAGTACAATAGGATTGGGGGGTTAATGTGTTTTATAAAGCTTGTTTTTGCAAAGGAAACTCACCATGACACATTTAGATGCAGAATTGGACATTTTAGATCGCTTCACAAATAATGTTCTAACTCCTGTTTAGAAGCTGCTATTTGAAAGATTCTTTTTTCTGGTACTTTTTGGCATGTAGTGGCATCAAACAAAGTAAATTGCAGAGAGTTGAGCCTAACAGAACCTGAATTACAGAATTTCAAAAAAATAACTACTTTTAAATCTCCAAAATCGCCTATGTTTTTTTTGTGTTTATTGTAATATTTGAAAAATATGTAATGTTAGTTATAAAGAATTACACTCATATTTTGTAGTTCAAATGGTTTTCTTTACAATGAAACCATTTTTTTTTCATTTCCTCCATTGTATGTGTGTAGGGCAAACATTTGAATTTGAGTATGTTAAATTTAGGCGAAAATACCAAAAAAACGCCCTGAGCTTAAGTGGTTTAAAGAACTGCAAAACGGATTGACTGCATAGAACCAATCTGTATGTGTAAAAAACCAAACTGTTGCAAATGTCTAAATGACTTCTTGTGCATGTGGGGCAAAAAGTTCCCGAAATAAACCGATATGTACAGCTCCGTCTTTCTTTTCTCTGCACTTACAATTTTGCCACGATTCTCTCACTAACTGTGTTTTGCAAGCGTGAGGGGGAGGGCGGGCCCCCCTTCTTCTGGTAGCCAATCAAATGAGCCTAGGGCTGGACGATATGGCCTAAATTTATATCACGATATATTTCTTAATTTCGGTCGATACGATATAATTCCGATATCGATATGAACACTATTAAAAAAGCCTCATAAAAACGGCCAAGAACGGTCACAACAGATGTCTGTTACTGTTTTTGCTGTATTTTGGATCAAATAAATGCAGGCTTGTTGAGCAGAAGAGAATTCTTTAAAAAACATTAAAAATCTTACTGTTCAAAAACTTTTGACTGGTATGTTAGCCTATAGTTTGAAGTAAAAAATATTAATATTAATAAGGAGAGTCTGAGATTTATTTGACAGTGATTTCACATTTCTTGTTTGCATGAAGGCTAAATACCAATAAAAGGTGAACATTTATTTATTTGCGCCATTTTTTTCCTAAAATATTATATAGTTTTAAATGAGTAAGTTTGTAGATACAGACATCTGTTGTGGCTGTTCTTGGCCATTTTTATGAGGCTTTTTTAATAGTGTTCATATCGATATTGGAATTATATCGTATCGACCGAAATTAAGAAATATACCGTGATATAAATTTTGGCCATATCATCCAGCCCTAGCACACCATAATAATAAACAAAAGTCCATCTCTTCCATTGGAATTAAACAAAGGTGACCTCTGCTCTGTAAACATCCATGACAGTATTTCTCTTTTGAAAATAACAAATGGAAATAATCACAAAAGTATTTAATGTTTTCAGTTTGTACATTCTTTACATTTCTTTTGGACCTGGGGTAGAGACTTTGGAAACATGGTGAAAAAAAAATCTTGTTGGTTTTGACTTATGAATAATACTACAACAGTATTAGTAAGTAAATAACAAAGTTAATGAAGTAGCCTATTATTAATATACGACTAATATTAACTTTATTTGTCCCACAGGGGAAACTGTTACTAATGATGGAAATAAACGGAAATATTATTGTAATCAACTGTCATACATACGTATTAATTTTAATAATCTTTATAATAGATTAGTAGTCTAATGGCCGTGATCTCGATTGGTGGGTTACTGCCGCTTCCGTCCAGCCAGCTGCCATTTTAACGACTCTTACTGCAATTAAATTAATTGTTTTATTATTATTAATGTATTCTTATGAATGTACTCTTTTATATCATAGGCGTATAAGGGAGGTTTATCCTGAATAAAGGAGACAAATGGCCGTAATCCCGACTGGTGGGTCTGACGCTTCTCTAGCCGCTCAGTCCAGTCAGTGGCAATTGAGCTCTAATTTTGACGCAATCTCTACCACTCTAGCTGCAAGGAAATGCATTACTATTATTATTATAATAAATATATTCTCATGAATCTATTCTTTAAGATTATATACGGTTTAGGGGGTTTTATCCTGATTTAAGTGGTCAAATGATCGTGATCCCGACTGGTGGGTTACTGACACTTTAGTCCAGCCAGCCGCTATGAAGCTGCCAGTATAACACGTTCTCTACGTTAGAAAATACTTAATCGCAAAACCGGTTAATC